GTCTTAGGCACTATGCCACCATATATATATATATATATATATATATATATATATATGAACCCACTGAACCTATTGAATCAGATGAACCCATTGAACCTATTGAATCAGAACTTGGTCCACAAAGCTGCTCTGTGCTTCAGGTTTAGGATGATATGTAACTGGAGATATGTCACCTTGGTACCACGTCCCTCCCATGAGAGTGGAGATACAGTGGGACTGCAGTATAAGACCAGGATACTTTTCCTTACAAGCAGTCTGCATCTGAGTAACTTTCCCCATACAATCTTTGCAGAGAGGTACCTTGTGGGTATGAATGGGTCAGTCTAGATTCCATGCTACATGATAAACTGAACACACAGGTCAGCAAATGCCCTCTGGGCTCCTGAGACAAAGTCTTCAGATGTTTCCTCCTGAGGCAGCCCCAGAAATGGATTGATAGTGTTGTTTCACGTAGAGACAGAATGCTATGTCTGCAAGGTCAACAGAGTCAGCAGACCCCACCTCTCAGCATCTTCTGGTAGATGGGGCTATTGGGTAAATTCCAGAGAATATCCAAGAACCCCGAGTCATTCTTCTGGACAGGGCTTCCCAACTACAAAGAAAGTCTGCCCATCACTACATCTGCTGAGAAGTGGGGAATGAGAAAAGCCACCCTCTCAGATTTAACCCTGGCTAGGTGGGGAAGACCCTCAACAAAATGGATTGACACAGTAGCTGCGACAATGGCCTAAAGCGTAGCAGCTGTTTTAAGGAATGGTCAGTGTTTCATTCTGTTGTGCATAGGGTCAGAGCTGACTCAATAGCACCTAACACCAACAGGTGTCCTGGGAGGTTCAAGTAAAGCCGCATTTTGCAGTCAGACTTAACCGATTTAGTGACATTCTTCTTCACTCTCTCCAGAGCAGAAGCAGCCACAGGGATATGTTGCTAGTGTCTGAGTACATGAACAGCAGATGCACCCTGGCTCCTGAAAACTGATGGAGAATATGGAAACCTGGCCACATAGCCCACACTCCCATACCATGTGCCCCATTCTTTAGACAAGCAATATGAAAGAAGCAGCCACCTCATGTACCGCATCCTCCCCACCCCCACCTTCTCCCAGTGGTGGTGGGGAAGCCTTAGAACCTTGAGTTCCAAGGAAGAAGTACAAACCTTTCTTGTCTGATGGGTAGGCCAGGACTAAGTCAGTCTGTAGATTTCTCTGGAACTGGACTAGGAAATGGAATCTCTTAGCTTAAGGGGAATGCATTGAGTTTTTAAGAAGCTACAAACAGCAATTGAGTTGGATTCACAAAATCAATGGTCCCAAAGCATCTAGGGACCCAGAATCTGACAACCTGAAAGAGACAAGAAGAGGAGTGAGGCAAAAGGGGATGGAGCTCAGTCTAGCACCATTATCTACAGCAGACAACACTGCTTGGTTGTGGCATTGGGCAGGGGTCAATAGCAACATATAAAGGGAAAAGATAGAGATAAGCTTTGAATTTTTTTGCCTCTGATTTTTTTTTATTTGTGTATCCTGAATCTATCTTTGCTTATTCTTTTATTTTAAACTTGTATCATTTTATTTTAGGCATGTTTCTCCTAAGTAGTAAATAATTGAATTATTTAATAAAAAGCAGATAATGAGTTACTATAATGGGAGACTTAATCATTAATGACTTTTTTTCAGAACTGTAGTAGAGAGTGAGTGGTATATCTGACACTTTTTGAGGCTTTATACTTTTTTATATCACCTTATTTTCATACTATTGTTTTTTCATTTTTATTTATTTTTGTGTATATGATAAAGGATGTAATATTTGCCATAAAGAAATGCTTTATTTTATCTTCTGCAAATATTTGAATGACAGATTATTTAATTTTTAATTTGGGTTACTATTTATTCAACATTTTGCAAACTTCTCAACACTCTATTTGCCTAGTTATCAAAGACAAAGACAAAACAATGATTTTGTGTTTTGCCCATGAAAAACACATAATTTAGCATTTTTGATAACTCTTGCCCCTCTTCTTTCTTTATGCTTTCCTTTTTTTTTCTGGAACAATGACCTCTGCATTCTGAATGAATTTTGAGGATTATATTCCTATAGTGCCTAAGGCAGTTGACTGCTAACCAGAAGGCTGGTGGTTCAATCCCACCAGCTACTCCTTGGAAGGAAGGTTGGGCAATCTACTTGCATAATGATACTGCCTTGGAAACCCAAGGAGGGGTCACTATGAGTCGGGTCCGACTTGACGTTACATAACAACAATAACAACAATCCTCCTTTTACATATAACCAATCTAGGATTGATCCCATAATTGAGTTGCTCAAAGACACTGTCCCTCACAGAGTTTTTTTTTAATTCTTTGCTCTGGGCCTCTTTTATATTTATTTATTTATTCATTCATTCATTTATTTATTTTCTGAATAAATTGTTGAGATTGAATGAACAATGAATGACTCCTCTTTCAGAATGATACTCATTGCTGCTGTGATTAGATGAACTCCTGGCTCCAGGTTTATGGACGATAGATCCTTAGTTTTCATATCTGTCATGCTCCCCACCACCATTTGGGGGTTTTAATTGGTATTTTAAAGAGAATTAAGAGAAGGTATTGCCTGGCACTTCTTTCCACCCTGCCATCTTCCAAGATGAGTGTGTCTTATTTTCAACAGAATGGGAAATTATATTCATTTGTCATCCTGATGTCTGAATGCTTGGTAACATTGGGATGGGCATCATGGGTCAGGGGAGTGCAGAGAAGAGCAAAGGTATAGTGAGTTTCATGCTACAGCAGTAAATGGACTTTTAAGATAATTGTCTTTAGAGTGTGTTGTGTCAACTATGAGAACACATTCCATTTCTTCATAACCTCTGTAATTCCCTTAGACCATTCTTGTGTCTCCAAAAGGTGGTAGCTCCCTTTCTCATTTTTCTTTATCCCACCATAGGTTTTCAGTGGCATTTTTATAGCAGAAATGTGCCTAAAAATCATTGCACTTGATCCCTACCACTACTTTCACCGAGGCTGGAACATTTTTGACAGCATTGTTGCTCTTCTGAGTTTTGCAGATATGATGAACAATGTATTTGCAGAAAAAAAACTTTTGCTATTCTTCCATTCCCTAAGAGTGGTAAGGTGCTTTCTTATTTTCTGTATAATTTAGTTGTTCAAATTGAAGAGTCTTGAGTGAGTTGAATGGATGTCTTGGACTAAGCTTTAGCTCATCTTACAATTAATCCTCAGAACCAAAACTTCCTCCTCATTCCCCACCCATGTCTTTAATGGCCTTGGGAAGCTCCAAGGAGTCTTCTCATAACTGAATGCCTCCCCCAACCCCATGGATGACTCCCTAGGCAACTAGAGCCAAAATTATATACTTCACTGTCAAGACCCTGGTCCTTCATTTGTGCATGACTCCACCAACACACTTTCTCCACATGGAACTCGGAGCCAGCTGGCCTCTCATCTGAGTTCACCAAGGTTGGTGAAGACCACAGACCCCAGGAATGGGACAGACACTGCCAGCAGGTACTGTCTCACAACAAGGTACTGTCTCACAACAAGGCTGCTGGTACCATCTTACTTCCATTCCACCAGTTTGGAGGTGTTCTACCAGCCACTGTGGAGCCCCTGATATGAGCTGACATGAGAGAAGACACAAAGCACTATCTATAAGGAGTTTTCAGTCAAGAGGTAGTACAAGATAAAGTCAGAAATGACCATGATGCCAGGTAGAGTGTGACAGATTCCATGAGAGGTGTGGATAGAAAGCAACAGAGGAGTCATACCTAATAGGGGAACTAGGAAAATTCCAAGATAGCCTTTGTCTTTTGAAAAAGATACTTACTACTTTGTTTTGGTATGGATAGAATTTCTAAACCTAGGATACTTGATTCAGTTACCTAAGTATGCATTTTTTACCTGGGGCATGGAGAAAGGTGACACTGCTCAAAGTCAGATATTATTAGGCTGTTTTAGAAAGGTTTTTTTTGTTTGTTTGTTTAAGGTGGCACAGATGGTTAAACTCTAGACTACTAACCAAAAAGTTGGCAGTTCAGACACACCCAGAGCGACCTTTGAAGAAAGGTCTGGTGCTCTACTTCTGAAAAATCAGGCATTGAAAATCTTAGTGAGCACAGTTCTACACTGTAGCATGTAGGTCACTGTGAGTCAAAATCAACTCGAGGGCAACTATTTTTTTTTGTTTGTTTGTTTTCTTTTAATTAAGGTTCCGTTGACACTTGAGTAAGCAGAATTACATTTCCATTACAATTATTTAGGCTTATTACAGCCATGCTCTCAGGTGAGGAATTTTGTGGCATTTTCTTTATGGGACACTAGAACCACAGTTATTCCTTACCTGCCCTCTGAGTAGCTGATGGCATAAGTCTTACTGGACTACAACATTTTTACCCCCAAATAGTTGATACTTACAGGACTGTGCTTTGGAGAAATCATCCTTTTACGTTGAAAATTAATATAAGCAATAACGTAAGAAACTGGTTGCTGTATTTTCTCTAAGGATGTCATCTCCTATAAGATCTATGAAGTTCCATGGAGAAAATTTCTCTTTGGATAAATTGTACTTACCCTGGGTTTCTGGTTGCCTGTTTTCTCTTGGTACAAAATATCACATTACTTTCATCATTGTTATAAAGTTTAGATTCAAACATGTAGCCTGGGTTATAAAATGCAGGGGTTGGCAAACATTTTCTGTGAAGGGCCCGATAAATATTTTCAGCTTCATGGGCCATATCTCTGTTGCAACTACTCAACTCTATCATTGTAGTGCACAAGTAACCATACCAAAGGAAACCAAACCTGCTGCCACTGAGTAGGTTCCAACTGAAGGCATCTCCATGTGTTACAGAGTAGAACTGCTCTCCATAGGGTTTTCTTGGCTATAATCTTTACAGAAGCAGATTGCCAGGCCTTTCTTCCACGGTGCACTGGGTGGGTCCAAAGCCAACTTTTAAGTTAGTAATTGAAGGCCAACTGTTAGCACCATCCAGGAACCGAAAAGCAGCCATGGGTATTCATAAACAAATGGATGTGGCTGTGTTCCAAAAAAACTTTATTTATGGACACTGAAATTTTAACTTCGCATAATTTCCATGTGCATGAAATACTATTCATCTTTTGATTCTTTCTCAACCATTAAAAAATATCAAAAGCATTCTTAGCTTCTAGACCACACAAAAACAGGCAACAGGCCTGATTTGGCCCAATGGCTATATTCTGGTGACTCCTACCTGGTATATTGTATAGGAGTCTACACAGCATTCATTTTCTTTTCTAAACATGTGTGCTCAGTGTACCATCATGCGTCCAAAATTTTTATCATTTTGAAAAGTTAGGACAAATATTTCCATTTTTAAAATAACAGATATAGGTGAGTATTAGATGGAATGGGGAGTTGGTTCTGTGTTCAGGATGGGTTTCACCTTGAAAAGATTTTTGAAAGTCAGAAATACTTGGTTTGGGAACATGCCATGTACTTGATTGCTAGCAGGTGGAATTTGTCATTAACCGGATTTTCTTCCATTTTTGTTTGTTGTTTGTTTTTACAGCTGAGGGTCTTCAAGTTAGCCAAATCCTGGCCAACTTTAAACACATTGATTAAGATAATTGGGCACTCCGTTGGAGCCCTTGGAAACCTGACTATAGTCCTGGCCATTGTTGTCTTTATATTCTCAGTAGTTGGAATGCAGCTTTTTGGCTCCAAATTCAACTCCTCAAAGAATTCCCGACGACGTTGGCACATGGAGGATTTCTACCACTCCTTCCTGGTGGTATTCCGTATCCTCTGTGGGGAATGGATTGACAGCATGTGGGAATGTATGCAAGCAACTGACAAATACCTGTGCATTATTGTCTTTCTGTTGATCATGGTGATAGGAAAACTTGTGGTGAGTTCCTCAGATTTAAAAAAGAAAAAAAAATGGAGTAAATGAATGCATTGACTTTTTTTTGCAGCAAATGAAGAGTGAAAATTGTTATTGTAAATATAATAACCAAAAACAAAAAATACCCAAATAAATATTAAAAATATCCACTTGAATTTGGCTTGAGAAAGTAAAATAAGCTTGAGGCAAAACCTGCTTGTCATGTAGTGATCACTGTGACCAGTGCCCCAATATGTGTTCCACTCCAGATGGTTATCTTAAGACAATCATATTCTCTTTGCCAGAGACTGGTGAGGTAGGGGCTTAAGACTTAATTTGACCAGTAAGATGAAAAGGGATACCCACTGGGGGAACTTTGTTAAGGTTTCTTGTTCTTTGACAAAGGAAAAAGGAACAAGAAATAAATGGTCCTTTTATTCCTTTGGAATTTTGTTATGATCGTAGTCTTAGAAGAGTTGCAAGCATTATATAGCCATGAGAAGAACCAGCTTAAGACAAAGCTAGCACTGAGGAAGGCAGAGAGAGGGGACGGGACAACCTGTCTTCATGGCATAATGGATCCTCTGTTCTCGTTTCAGACTTTTTTTATCATACATTTTTTCATTGTGTAAGTTGGCTTAAGTCTGTTACTTGCAGCACACACATTTATAGAGAGGCTGAAAGATCCCTGTGCAGTACAAAGGGTTTACACTTGACGAATAACTGAAAAGTTGGCTGTTTGGACCCACCCAGCACCTCCTTAGAAGACAAACCTGGTGATCTGCTTGGGTAAAGATTACTGCCAAGAAAACAGTTCTACTCTGTACACATGGGATCTCCATGAGTTGGAATTGACTGGATAGCAAGGGGTTGGGGGGGAAGAAAAACGAAGAATTAGGTGTGGACCAGCAAAGATATGAAAAGAAAGAAGACACACAAGGATTCTTGAGCACAAAACCTTCAGAATCAAGCTGGGACTATAGTGCAAATGTAATTGATTATCTACACATGATAGCTTTATCCTAATCATTTGCTATCTAGTTGATCCCAACTCATAGTGACCCCATGTGTGTCAAAGTAGAACTGTGCTCCATATGGCTTTCAATGGCTAATTTTTCAGAAGTGGATCACTGTAGCTTTCTTCTGAGGCACTTCTGAATAGGTTTGAAATTCCAGCCTTCTGATTAGCAGTCAACCATATTAAGTGTATGAGCTCAAGGACACCAGTTTTATCCTAAGTACCTAATAAATGATTGTTATGGATTAATAATGTCCCGAAAAACTATGTCCACCACTCATCTATCAGTTTGTCCTACTGTGGTGGCTTGAGTGTTACTGTGTTGCTGAAAACTATGTCATCAGAATTTCAAATACCACCAGGGTCATCCATGGTGGGCAAGTTTCAGTGGAGCTTAGTCAAAGACAAACTAGGAAGGATGACATGGTGATCTCCTTTTGAAAAATTTGGCCATGAAAACCTTATGGATAGCAGGAGAACATTGTCTGCTACAGTGCTGGAAGATGAGCCCCTCAGATTGGAAGGTACTCAAAATATGACTGAGGAAGAACTGTCTCATCAAAGTTGAATCACCCTTAATGATGTGGATGGAGTAAAGCTTTTGGGACCTATTTTTGCTGATGTGGCACAACTCAAAATGAGAAAAAATGGATGCAAGCATCCATTAGTAATTATATGTGGAATGTATGAAGTATGAATCTAGGAATATTTGAAGTCTTCAAAAATGAAATGGAATGCATAAAGATCAATACCCTAGGCATTAGTGAACTGAAATGGATTGGCATTAGCCATTTTGAATTGGAAAATCATATGTTCTACTATTCTGGAAATGACAAATTGAGAAGGAATGATGTCACATTTATCATCAAAAAGAGCATTTCAAAATCGATCCTGAATTACAGTGCTGTCAGTGATAGGATAATATCCATATGCCTACAAGGGAGACCAGTAAATACCACTATTATTCAAGTTTACACACCAACCACTAATGCTAAACATGAAGAAATTGAAGATTTTTACCAATTTCTGCAATTTGAAATTGATCAAACATGCAATCAAAATGCATAGATAATACTAGTGATTGGAGTGTGAAAGCTGGAAACAAGAAAGAGCATCATGGCTGGAAAATTTGATCTTGGTCATATAAGACATCAGAGATCTCTCATGCTAGAATTTTGCAAGACCAGTGACTTACTCATTGCAAATACCTTTTTTCAATAACATAAATGGTGACTATACACGTGGACCTCACTGGATAGAAGACACCAGAATCAAATTGCCTATCTGTGGAAAAACATGATGGAGAAGCTCAATATCATCAATTAGAAGGCCAGGGGCTGACTGTGGAATACACCATCAATTACTCACATGCAAGTTCAACTTAAAGCTGAAGAAAATTAAAACAAGTTACAAGAATCAAATTATGACCTTGAGTATATCCCATCTGAATTTATAGACCACCTCAAGAATAGATTTGATGCATTGGACACTAATGACTGAAGACCTGATGAGTTGTGAGATGACATCAAGAACATCACACATGAAAAAAGCAAAAGGTCATTAAAGACACAGGAAAGAAAGAAAAAATCAAAATGCATGTCAAATGAGATTCTGAAACTTGCTCTTGAACAGAGTAGGTAAACCAAATGGAAGAAATGATGAAGTAAAAGATTTCAAAGGGTGACTTAGAAGAGAAAGTAAAGTATTCTAATGAAATGTGCAAAGTCCTGGAGTTAGAAAACTAAAAAGGAAGAACATGCTTGGCATTTCTCAAGCTGAAAGAGATGAAGAAAAAATTCAAGCCTTCAATTACAATATTAAAGGATTCTATCAGTAAAATATTGAATTACACAGGAAACATCAAAAGAAGGTAGAAGGAATGCAGAGTCACTGGACCAAAAAGAATTGGACCAAAAAGAATCAGTTTTTAGGAGGTAGCATATGATCAAGAACCAATGGTACTGAAGGAAGAAATCCAAGCTGCACTGAAGGGATTGGTGAAAAACAAAGCTTCAGGATTTGACAGAATACCAACTAAGATGTTTCAACAAATGGATGCAGCACTGGAAGTGCTCTCTCATCTATACCAAACAATTTGGAAGACAACTACTTGGTCAATTGACTGGAAGGAGAGCAGTAGAGGACTAACTTTTGCTGAAGATCCACTTCTTCAAAGTCTCAGTATCTTTCTGGGAGCAGCAAGGAAAATGGATCCAACAGAATGTGGAAATTATTGGAAAATATCATGAATATCACATGCAAGTGAAATTTTACTGAAGATATTAAAAAATGATGCCAGCAAAAATTGACAGAGAACTGCTAGAAAATGAAGCCAAATTCAGAAGAGGACATGGGATGAGGAATATCATTGGTGATGTCAGGGGGATCTTAGCTGAAAACAGAGTATACTAGAAAGATATTTACCTGTGTTTTATTGATTATGCAAATACATTCTGCTGTGTGAATCATAACAAATTATGAATAATATTGCAAAGAATGGGAATCCTAGAACACTTAATTGTGCTCACACAGAACCTATACATAGACCAAGAGGTCATCATTTGGACAGAACAAGGGGATACTATGTGATTTAAAATTAGGAAAGGTGTGGATCAGGATTGGATTCTTTCACCATACTTATTCAATCTATATAAGCCAAAAAAACCAAACTCATTGCCAACAAGTCAATTCAAGTCATAGCAACTCCTCCTTGGGTTTCTGAGATAGTATCTCTACGGAATTAGATTGCCCAATCTTCCTTTGAGGAGTGGCTCGTGGGTTTGAACTGCCAGACTTTTGGTTAGCAGTCAAATGCCTTAGGCACTACACCACCAGTGCCCCCTATTCAATCTATATACTGAGCAATTAATCTGAGAAACTGGACTCTATGAAGAAGTACCTGACATCAGGATTGGAGAAAGACTCATTAACAACCTGCGATATGCAGATGACACAACCTTGCTTGCAGAATGTAAAGAGGACTTGAAGCACTTACTGATGAAGATCAAAGATTATAGTTTTCAATATGGATTATACCTCAACATAAAGAAAAAAAAATCCTCACAACTGGACCAATAAACAACATCATCATAAATGGAGAAAATAATGAAGTTGTCAGGGATTTCATTTTACTTGGATCCACAATCAATTCTCATGGAAGCAGCAGTCAAGAAATCAGATGTCCTAGATTGCCTCGGGGGCGGGGCAAGATGGCGGACTAGGCAGAAGGATTGCACAGACCCTCTTCAACAAAGAAAAGGGAAACCAATTAACACAGACACAGAAGATAA